ATAAACTAGAATTGGTACCTTAAATCGAGAGCTGCTGTACTACTGTAGACAAGGCATGGGATAATAACCACTGTCAAGGTATACCGCGGTTTGGAAAAGTCAAGGTTTTACAACTGCCAGAATTTTCTGCTATATCGGTCCTAAGGTATGTGTAAGATATTTTTTTTTTGTACATATTTTTTTAAAGACAGCAGTAGCTCCAGCAGAAAAAAATATCAAAAGTGCCGTTTTAAATTGTAAAGAAATCTATGTTTTCGAAACAAATGAAGACAGCAGAAGTCAATGATTCATTTGAATTATTCAAATTATTATTATACAGTGAATTATGTTTACAGCTCCAAAACATCATAAATCTTTAAAAAATATATAATGTATCGTTTTCAAAGGGAAAAAAACTTGTTGATTTTTACCCAGACATTTAAAAAGAATATATTTTAGAGCAGCAACACAATACTGTGATACCATGATGTTTTAATCCAAGATTATCATACCGTCAGAATCTTATAACGGCCCATGCCTACTGTAGACTCGATATTTAGGACATAGACACCAGTGGCCATTTAATGAACTGCAGCCAGAAATTTGTAAATATAATGTACAGAAGACATGCTAAGTTTTCATTTAAAAGCGCATATCGTTCTCTTAGTTTATCCTTCCACCCAACTGAGACAGCGTTTTTAGGCAACGAAAACATTGTTTTTGAAAATGAAAATGCTCTACAAAGTTTGAAGATGCTGTTTTCGCATTGAGGTCTGTACTGTGAAAATGGAGGCTTTCGAAAACTTATTTTTCGTCAGGAGACCAAACCAGGTGGCCAACATTAATTAATACAGCAATTGTTTTGGATGCATGCAGCACGGTGGCGTAGTGGGTAGCACAATCGCCTCAGCAATAAGGTCACTGGTTCGAGTCTAGGCTGGGTAAGTTGGCGTTTCTGTGTGGAGTTTGCATGTTCTCCCCGTGTTGGCGGTGGTTTCCTCTGGGTGCTCTGGTTTCCCCCACAGTCCAAAAACATGTGGTATGGTTGAATTGAATAAACTAAATTAGCCATAGTGTATGTGTGTAAATGAGTGTGTATCGATGTTTCCATGGAAGCTGGAAAGGCATCGGCTGCTTAAAACATGTGCTGGATAAGTTGCCGATTCATTCCACTGTGGCGACCCCAGATTAATAAAGGGACTAAGCCAAAAATAAAAAGAAAGTATGAATGTTTTGGGTGCTCTCTATTTGGACAGTATTGTTCAAGAACTATGTCTGTTTGTACATACTCCAGATACTCAAAGGACAGGGAATGGTTTACTCTAATGTTTTGTTTTGTTTTGGCAAGTTTTCCAGTCTATATTCCCCCTTGTTTAATTGCTTTTGCAACTTTATACTTCTTTGATGCGTTAAGCAACAACTCCACCCTGCTCTCGGTCCATTCTTCTTTGACATAATGCAGCAGCATTTCAAAAAGTAGGAAAGTAAATAAATGCCAAGCAGGTCAAAGCATCTATTTCATAATGGTCATTCAGCTCTGTCAATCTAATCATAGAGAAATGGGAGGATCGGAGTATACAGAATTAAATACTGCTTTTGGCATAAGGAGCAACAATTTTTGTGGAGAGGAAAGCCTGGTTGGGCCAGATGGACCAGGCCGTGAGATGGAAGAGTAGCAGATGTCCAGAAAATCTCCGGCATTGCACTCAAACCACAGCACAGCCTCATGGTCTGTAGCGTGCACATGGGCATCAGTCACCTGACCAGTTCCCTCTCTGAAATTAAAGATATCAACAACAGTGCAAAGCTATTTTTAATTGGTTTAAATATTACTGTTAGAGCATATCAACTATACTAAGATGATAAAAGGTCCATTTCTATAAATCATTCCTGGCGCTCTTTAAATACTTTAAATCATTCCTAAAGTCACAATAAAATCAACACTATTTACTTTGAATAATTAATCTGTTAAACTGTCTGTTAATCTGGTAATAATCTGAAGAGAAACTGACATCATTTAGCATAGTGATATAGAATTGTAATGCTCTCAAGACCTGCCTTAAACTACTTTAGTTTAGTTAGTTTGTGTTTCCCTGAAAAGAGTTGCAGATTATCATTGAATGTTCAACAGCCAATCAGAACCTAGTATTCAACAGAAATTAATTCATTCATTCATGCCTTTTATCTTTGGCATAGTACCTTTATTAATCTGGGGTCATTACAGCGGAATGAACCGCCAACTTATTCAGGATATGTTTTACATAGCGGATGCCCTTCCAGTTGCAACCCATCACTGGGAAACATCCATACAGATTCATTCACAACGGATAATTTAGCCTTCCCAGTTCACCCACATCACGTGCCTTTGGACTTGTGGGGGAAACTGGAGCACCCCGAGGAAACCCACATCAACATGAAAAGAAACATGCCAACTGCACACAGAAATGCCATCTGAATGCCAAGAAAAAAAGGCCAAGGTGCTCAAAGCGACCCAAGTTAGATTTTCGGTTTGAGGCCCTTTGCCGATCCTTCCCCTCTCTCTGCTCCCCATAATTTTTTTTTTCAATTCTTTACACTGTTCTATGCATTATATATATATATATATATATATATATATATATATATATATATATATATATATATATATATATATATATATATATATATAGTTGAAGTCAGAATTATTAGCCCACCTGTATATTTTTCCCCCAATATCTGTTTAATGGTGAGAAGATTTTTTTCAGCACATTTCTAAACATAATAGTTTTAATAATTCATTTTCTAACAACTGACTCCTTTTATCTTTGTCATGATGACAGTAAATAATATTTTAGTAGATATTTTTCAAGACACTTCTTGAACTTCTTCAGTGACATTTAAAGGCTTAATTAGGTTAATTAGGTTATTTAGGCAGGTTAGGGTACTTAGGCAAGTTAATGTATAACGATGGTTTGTTCTGTAGACTATTGAAAAAATTGTTTAAAGGGGCTAATAATTTTGACCTTAAAATGTTTTTTAAAAAATGTAAAGCTGCTTTTATTCTAGCCAAAATAAAACAAGACTTTCCCCAGAAGAAAAAATACTATCAGACATACTGTGAAAATGTCCTTGCTCTGTTAAACATCATTTGGGAAATATTTAAAAAAAGAAAAAAAAAGTTTATCCAATTATACTAAATGAACATAATTTCCTTGGTAAATTAGGTTAAATATTTATTTATTTATTATATTTCAATTATTTTATATTCCATTTCATTTTTTTATTTTGTTTAGTTAACTATACTAACCCTGCTTTGTAAAAACAAAAAAGGGGTTTGGTTGGGTCAGATGCAGAGAGGTCAGTGCGCCATTGTACTACTATAGACCTTAAAACAGATGGGAATTCAGTGCATTGCTCAAGGCTCAATAGCATAATCGGAGGAAATGCCCTGAGTAACATTTCAACACGGGTTTTCCATTTTACAGCACAGTGCACCACCAGTCACTGCATTTCTGCCAAAACAGATTGCATGGCATTCCCTCAAAACAATACAAGGTTAACAATAGAATTTTAAAAAGTGTTCACTGAAGGTTTGTTCCCTCTGTGTGTTACACAAGCTGATGGCAGCGAAGATTAATATTAATAACTGCAGTGTGCTCTGGTTTGTTCAATACATACTGTTGACTGTCCTTGGTGTCATCCCAGATGATTCTCTGCGATGGAAATAGGCCTTTGTTTTAAATCTGTCTCCTGGAAGGATATGGCAGAACTGCTGCTTGTGTGGAATTATGGAACATCTCTGTTACGTTTGAGGTCATGTTATCTTAATCATGTTAACATACGTTTTAAGAATGTAAATGAAAAACAATATACGATTTAAGGAGCGCGCGTACACTTCAAAACATGTGTCCATGCTAAACATTTCTTTGCAACTTTGGAGCAGTGGTGACCTCTGTTGGGCAACTTGGAGCAGCGCTTCAATCTGATTTTGTAAATGAAATCAAAGACAAGACTAAAGAAACGTAACACAAACTTGTTCGTGGAGATCCGGTGTCCTGCAGATTTTAGCTCAAACCCTAATCAAACACACCTGAAGTCGCCATTTCAAGGTTTTCGGTAAATTCACCTAACAAATCATCATTAGCTATCATGTTTTTCCAACCCACATTCTTTTAAACAAATATATTATTAATAAAACCTAAGAGATTACCGTCCCTCCTCTAAAAGTCCGTTCACCCAAAATTTTGATACTTTAAATAAAGTAATCTATATAAATGTAGCTGTCGTTTGAAGACACGACTGCTTTATATGATGCACAGAGCGAATGTAGATGTTTACAGTTAATATTCACATATTAACAATAATACGAAAACGTATGTACAGTTCAGCCATGTCTGTTTGATGCAGGAGGACAAACCATGGTTTCTGGAAGCCCACACTTGCCACACAAAAGTGATTTTACTGGCTTTCACAAATCAAAGCATGCTTCAGTTTGTGTGACCAAATTTGTATGCTGAAAAATATTGTTTGTTCATTCAATCATTTTCTTTTTGGCTTAGTCTCTTTATTCATCAGGGGTCGCCACAGCAGAATGAACCACCAACTTATCCAGCATGTTTTACACAGCGGATGCCCTTCTAGCTGCAACCTAACACTGGGAAACACCCACACACACACACTCTAATCACACACACTCATACACTACGGCCAATTAAGCTTATTCAATTCACCCATAACGCATTCCTTTTTACTCCTTTTTAATGCATTACTTTTTCACACGAACAAAGGAAAAACGAACAGAAATGCCAATTGACCGAGCTGGGGCTTCTTGCTGCGAGGCGACAGCACTACCCATTGTGCCACCCAAAAATTGTTTGCTTACAGTAAGAATTAATTCTGTTCGTCACGGTGAACATAATTAATGGACACTTTTAATGGAGGCACATACATCTCTGGTTAAAAAAAAGTCTTAACAGAATTATTTATAATCCATGTAATCATTTACGAGCAGGTTACCTTGACAAGTAAACATGACAAAAACAAACAGAACAGAATCCCTTTATTCAAGTATGAAAATGTAAAGCACATTTTAATTGTAGCATACATTTCAATTATGAAATACAAATCAACACAACTATAAAGGCAAATTATTTAATTTGAACAATCAGTCATCTGAAGAGGTCTATTTTATAAATCTGACATTTGAAGTGCATAGAATTTTGCATGACAGTAACATTTAAGTTCCACAAATCCTGATTGAATTGGTCCTTCACAACATAAAGGTTGGAGTAAGAAAACATGGTATCAAAAGGAAAACTTAAATCTAATACTGTTTTCTGTTAAATGATACTGTAAAATGGAAGCAACCTCTAACAACACGACCAAACGTCTTAATACAAAGTAAATGTTTTTGTTTGCGCAAAACTATTTGAGACTTGGTTGCTGGATTCTAAACCATGATGCATTTTGCTTAAAGCTGAAAGAGTGCTGTAAGGTTACCGCTTCATATTGATCAGAATACAGTTTAACCAATACTAACGAATAATGAGTACCATTAGGAAAACAGGCTGTGACCTTTAGCAGAAGGCACAAGAACTTTTCAGTGAAGAGGAAAACAAAAAGCGAGACTGATAAATATTCTTCATGACCATCAGCATCCAAGTTTATATTTAGGAGATTCAGACGAGTCTCACGAAAGGTCAAATCCCACACCAAAATCAAAAGAAAACTTAATTAATTTGGTCTTTAAATTGTAAATTACAATACATTTTTACGATTATTACGATTTAATACATTATTACGATTTTGTGTTTTTTAAATTACTGTATTACGGTTTCACTACACTGCAGAAAACTGCTTTTTTGGACATGTTTCCAGTCCAAATATCTAAATATTCTTCAATCATAAAGCATTTTCTAAACAAGTAAAAATATTTTTTAGTTTTTAGAAATAATAAATCAGAATAAATGAGTTTTTTCCTTAAAACAAGCAAAATGGGGTAAGAAAAATCCTTGTTTGAAGTTAGATTATTCTACGTACCCCATCGGCAGATTATTTAGCTTGTGGTAAAGGAAGAAAACGCTCTTAATTGTGACTTATTTCTGAAAACAAACCATTTACTTGTCTGGAAAATGTTTATTGATTGAAAATTATTTAGATATTTAGACTAGAAACAAGACAAAAACTCCAAAAAAAACTTTTATGCAGTATATTAATACGTGTTAAAAGCATTTTTATTATCAATTTCTTTACAACTTTATAAAACCAAGTAATGTTTTTAAAAATAATTATAAGAAATCCAATAGATCCTTTTTTCTTTTGATTTTAGGGTTAAATATGACCTGGGCATATTTTTTGGGAGAGTTATTTGCTGTTATTGAATTATTTTCTATTTCAGCAAACTCTGTGTGGACCAATCTGCTGATTCTTCAAAATAAACTCCGTGCTCGGCTTTTCTCCAAGCCTGAGGCATGAAAACAATGGATACAGCAAAGTTTTGAGCTGTTATGCTTTTAGTTTGGTATCAGTTTTTTTAAGCGCCCTTTCATTTTGACATCATTTTATTTATCCGTGACAGACATCCAAAATGGATGAACACAAAAATCTGTAAACTCCTCTGAAAACGCAAACTAGGGAAAAGTGAACCCAACAAACATAAACAGATTACCTTTTAAGCACACCATAGTCAAAACAAAAAAGAAAAAACATTGTAGATAATGAAAAGCAGGACAAAAAGAAAATTGACTTGCATCTATTTGACTAGGACCTTATAATCAGGAAGGCCTACAAATAAAGACTCTAGATCCTGCACTCTGGAAGATCAAGCAGAATCCACTTTAAATTCTCATAATAGAAAGATTACTTCCATTGCAAAGTGCCTCTTAGTGCTGATTACTAGGGAAAAAAAGAAAAAGGGTTGAATGGGATTGTCCCAGCTGTACCCATTTAGCTGTGCTGTGCCGTTTGTCCCTCATTTATCTCCGCTCTGATGTTACCGTAAATTGAAAATGTTATTAAGCATAGTCTAGAATGGAAGAAGTGGAGTTAGAAGAGGGAGTCCAGTGATTTGAACCTGAAGCTGGGAAGAGAAAGGCTGTACTGCGGATGAGGAAACATGTACACCTTCAAGACATTCGCATTTCAGCAGTCCAGTGGGTATTTTAATCTCAGCTGAGTGTTTCAGTAAAGTGCACCCCAGGTTTGTACCAAAGAAAATACTGTATGTGAAACACACTCAAGTAAACTAAAGAACAAAGCTAAACATGAAGATCGAAATGAAACATTGTGAACTGTCGTTCTGCAGCAGATGACTGTGGCTTGATTCCACACAGTGGCTTTGTGTTGGAACTGTGGTTAAGCAAACACACATACACATTTGCCATCCTTTTTAAGTGCTAGAAGCAAATCAGTCAGCGGTTATTCCTTTCTCTCGCAGCTCTTCTGTCACCCGCACAAGGTATGTGGGATCTGGATAACCAAAGCTGAAAAATAAACAACATAACATTACAATAAAAGACGCAGCTAAAAAGCTAAACTTATATTCAAAAGGAATTAAAGGGATAGTTCACCCAAACACAAAACTTCTGATAATAATTATAGTACATACACTTTAAACAACTATAGTGTCAAACTCAGTTCGTGGAAGGCCGCAAACCTGCACAGCTTAGTTTAACTCTGCTCTAACACACTTACCTGTAGGTTTCAAACAAGCCTGAAGGACCTAATTAGTTTGATCAGGTGTGTTTAATTAGAGTTGAAACCAAACTGCAGAGCTGTGGCCCTCCAGGAAACCGAGTTTGACACCTGTGACCAAAGGCATGTGTGAAGCAAAAATAATTACTTTTTTCAACAGTTTCTTCTCCTCGGTGTTAATATAGGGTGCACTTTCATGAGAGCACCATGCTCTTCATTTGTGTCACACTTGATCTTTCGTTTTCAAACAGAGGACTTTACGTGCAGGTATACATCAGTGCACAGTGCTCATGAACGTGCGCAATATACTGACACTGAGGAGACGAAATTGTTGAATAAAGTATTTATTTTTTGTGCTCATAAAAGTATTATTGTAGTTTGTTGATAGTCTGATTAAACCACTGAAGGCATGTACAGTGCTTAGCATAACGGAGTACACCTCATTTTGAAAATGAATATTTTTATCCATTTCTCAGTAAATATAGGCAATGTATTTTGGTGCATTTGAACAAAACAGATTTATAAAACAGATATTTATTAAAATAATATTTTAGTCCCCAAACAGATTTTGAAATTGAAAGATATTACAGTAAGCAAATTATTGCAAAAAAAATTAAAACCTAGAAAATAACAAAAAAAAAAACTGCACTTGATTTTTTCTATTTTTAAATTTTGTATATTTTTCTAGAACATATAAATTTTGGTGTACTAGTTTTTGGAGAATTATCTTAAGTTTTTTTTTTAAAATAAGCTCCAAATTTGGCTTCAGTACTGACTAATCTAATGTATATGCACAAATATAATATTGTAGAGCTTCCTATTAAAAATATGAATTCAAAAGACTGATTTGTGAGGGATTTTACTCATATTTGCAGAGCACTGTCTGTTTTGAGGAATGTTCTTTTTTGTTATTTTCCTCATTTTGAAAGTTCATCCACAACTGAAGATTCTGTTATTTACTGGTCACAAACCTGCTTGACTTTCTTCCTTCGAAAGAAGCTATTTTGAAAAATGTTGGAGACCGCCAACTATTGACTTTCATAGTATTTGTTTTTCGCACTATTAAAGTCAATGGTTAAAAGTTAAATACTATTCAAAATATATAATTGTGTTAAACAATAAAAATAAAAACACTATAAAAAGTATATTTTCCTTTTGGGAATTATCCCTTAAAATCTATAGCACAAAATAGTTATTTTATTACATAAACAATTAATGTATTTAACTAATAGACTTCATAATAGTACAAAAAAGTACAAATTCAAGAGATGCCTGTGGTTACACATATTGCTCAGACATAATTTAGCAAACATGTTTTAAAAGACATACCATCGTGGTCCACCCCATATAGAGGTCTTGTGGTGGATATCATTCCAAGTAATAACATTATGCATGCCGGTGGTCATGGAGGTGCCTATGGTGAAGATGAGCCGCTGCTCAAATGCCCGCCGCAGCATGCGGAGCACGCGGTTTCCCTCAGGGTTGTCTGGCAGGTACGCCACCCGGTCTGTGCCTGGATACCTCACTCCAGGGTTTGGATGCTCTTGCTGAAAGAATTTCAAAACATAATAGTGTGTGTGATTACATACTCTGTGTGGAATTTTTATGTGCTATATAATGCGCTTATCAGAATGCAAAGCATGCAGCAGTTGTAATCCGCCTGTGAGCAGCACTCACCGCCTGCAAACCAGGAGGGAAGCTGTAAATAATGCATATGCAGCCATAACCTTCATGGCCAGGCAGCTCCAAGTCTGGGTCTCTTTCAACCATCATGCTCCCATTGGCTGGCTGGTTACCGATGAGCTGACCGTATACTAGTCTGCACACAGGACAGGCTTTCTTTACTTGAAATGCCTGTTCTAGGCAGGACCTGCAGAATGCATGGCCGCATTTGTCCAGAGTTGTCTTTTCCACCATTTCACCCATGCAGATGGAGCAAACGGTGCTCTCTTCTTCATGACAAACAACTAATTCAGACACTGTCCTCGCAGAAGCCTCCTGCTGCATGGGTAAAACTACACACGTGTCCATATCTGCGCTTTTCCTGTATTTCTGCTGTTGCCTCTGCGAGCGCCGTGGTTGAGGTGGAGGTGGAGGCAACAGGCTCCTTTCTCCATCAGGTTCCATTGCAGCCACACAGGGTAACAACGAACGTTTCCTTTTAGGAGCTGCCTCCTGTTTGGTCATCTCCTTTCGGGCACAGCGGCATAAGTCTATGAATGCTTTCCGTGTAACAGGAGAAACGAGACTCTCCATCATACCAGTTCTAGCCCGGCTGCTGCCTTCCACCGGGGAGAGACGCACGGCACAGCAGCCGCCACGCTCTCCACGCCGGATAATATCAGCGCTCAGTCCCTGCTTGTCCTCGAAGTCAACCAACCAGGGCCGTCCAGCAGCTGCAAGGTAATCCCACACCGCCTGCGACACCAGCACCTCGTCACTGCCCTGCCCCGCACGCACGCTCATCTCATCAGAGGAAACTGGGAGAAAAAGAGATCGGTTTGCAAGGCTTCTTTAAATGGCGAACATGAACAGATTTTGTCATTATTAAGTGCTTATTGTGCTCAGTTTTTGTAGTATAAATTGAAAACTTAAGTATTTTGGCCATTCATTTATATTACAAATGTTCAAGATTCTGAAAACAATGGTGTGATTACTTCTGTGCACCAAAAACACAATGTTGCGAAAACATCAGGTGAGTGTGTATTATGTTTTCAGGTTATCGGAATGTTTATGTAAAATACATTATGGTATCATTTTGCACTTTGAAAAGCTTTTTTAAGCCCCTAAAATGCCATTGGTATGTAAATGAACAGCTCAAACAAAAAGATGTTTTACTTTTAAAAGATTTATTTCTTTATCTTTTTATTAATGGCTCAAAATAACAAATGTGCAAACACTGCTTTCTAAACTTTTCTGAAGTTAAAACATTGTTTTACTTTAAATATCACAGCGTAATATTTTAAATCCAGACAAACTGGGAATTACAAAGTGTCCTTTTAATTTTCCATAGCTGTATTAACTATAAAATAATAACATACCAGTTTGCACACACATTTTTAAATGAGAAAAGTGAGTTTAGGTCAGGGGTTCCCACACTTTTCAGCTCGCAATCGCAACCCCCAAAATAACAATTCCAGTGACTTTTGACTCCCACTATCCTCGTAGGTGGTTATAAACAAGCACTGCACACACACCAATAGGAACTATATAAACAAGCTAATTAACAACACAAGAAAAGTGCAACAGTTTAATAACTATATATACATTTTATAGTCATTATATTTGTTTAATTTAATATTACGTTCAGTAATGAAGTTTGCACTGCATGCTCCAGGTTTTTAACCTTTTTTGGTCCGTTAATCTTGTCAATAATTTTATTATTCAGGTCATGATTTGCACTCATTAAAAAATTACTTTATATGGCTTTTATTTTACATTCTTAGGTGGTACAATACACAAACGTTTTGGCACAATGTCTTCCTCAGTGTGCGAAGGCATTTTGCCGGAACATCTGTGTTTTGTATCACCTAAGAATATAAAATAAAAGCTATATAAAAGTAATTATTTAATTTAATATTAACGTTACTTAATGAGAATAGTGTGAACAATGTTTGCAGCACAAGACTATTCTTGGTATAATTTTGGAGACTGCCACTTGGAAATAATCCTCTGTGTTCAGTTGTGGCCTTTATTTTTAATGTACGTGAGTGCTGTAAAGGTGTCAAAGTTTAACATTGTGCCGTGAAATCAATCTGCTGCAACTAACACTAATGCTGTGTCATTAATCTAGTGTAATAACCCAAGTGGTCGCAATCAAATGAAAAAAGAATTGAAAGGTTAATGGCTTTTTATTTGCATGTTGTCATTTTATGTAACTATTAAATACTCTCTATCTTCTGTAGGTTAAGGATAATATATGGGAATTTTAATAGTTTAATAACATATATGATATTTTCGGCAATCACCAGGCGACCCCCACTCATTGTCTCCTGACCTCTATGTTGAGAACCATTGGCTTAGGTGACTGGTGATTACCTAAGCCAATACCATTTTAAACAAATATAAACATATTTTAGCTTTAAAACAAATTGTTTTAATAAACAAATTATTTTAATAATGCTTTAAAATAATGACTTCAAAAAATTGACATGATTTAAAAATATTTTGATATTGCAATATTATAATATCATGTCAAATTTATAACAGGCAGTCATAACAAGAGCCCAATTTCACCAAAACGAATAAAAACGTTGATGAAACTAGATTTAAAAACAGCATGTCACACTGTATGGCACCTCAGTGATTTATTGACATCACAAAAATACTAATCAATCACAATATTGTTCAACCTTTCAGCCTTTATACAATACTTTAGGTTAAAAATTAGCTTGTGCTCACACTTGTTACGGGTTAGCACTTTCCTTGTCAGCAGAGACATATGATGAATAATACACATTTGATGAGGAAACCCTGCATAAATTCACAACGCTTCTTCACACCTATCAAAAAAATTGAGGTAACGTTGTTTTTAAAAATCGCACATTCATTCAGTGACAACTTGTGACATGCTCCTTATATTGTTTACCATGGTACTCTAAATATTCGGTCTGAAAGAGGGCTGGGCAATTTCAACTCAATTACAATTAATGAACGATTTTATTTATTTATTTTTTTGCCAGTTCACTGACATGTTTTGCACAGTAAATATGCTCACATATAACAAGTGAGAATTTTTTTAATTAAGGGTGCATTACTTGATTTTAAAATATTTGAAGGAAACACTTTCTATAATTATTTATTGAACATCAACATTAAACAACTGAAATTAAATCACATATTGCCTAAACTGAAGTTCTTACAAAAAGTAAAAATAAATAATTATTTTAAGTGTTTTTCATTATAAAAGTAGAACATAAGCAGCATCTCTTCTGAATAAAATAACTATTTTAAATCCTGTAAATAATATTTTGCACAGTGCATCTCTTACATCTTCTATAAACAAATATTTTAATGTAAATAACAATTTCAATGTAAAGGAAAGTAACAAAACATCTGTAAAGGAAAGTCTCAAAACATCTCTGGCGCAGCTTTCAATCATCATCATCAGCGTAGTGCAAAGTGATGCTCAAGAATAGGTCCATCATCCTACTTGACCAGAGATCAGATATGACTGCAAACCCTTGACTTTACACATGATAGGGAAAGTAATTGAAAAGAAATGGACCCTGAAAAATTTAATCGATTATAGGTTCTAAATAAGGATGCTCCGATCGATTGGCCACAGATCAGTATTGGCCTATAATCACATATTAACTCGACCTGTACTCGCTAATCAGGTCAATCTCATGAACTGATCACAATTGTTTGTTTACAAGTTTACAAGCAGAGGACAAAAAAGAACTGAAATCTTTTATTCAGTTCTGATATACGTTTTGTTTTTAACAATATTCAGTTTATTAAAACCTGTCTGGAAATACTAGGGGAAAAACATTAACATGAATATTTAATAATATAACTTGCCATAATATATTTATTGCAATAAACAGTAGTTTATGGAGTTATTTATTTTTAGTAAAGGAAGCAATGAATTTATAGGTGTGCATTTTAATTTCTTATGCATCAAATAGGCACTCCAAACTCCTTTGAGCCATGTTGAATTCTTCTTCCATCATTTGCAAATGTTTTCCATTTTACTTTGTTAGTGATTTTCTTACCAATTTTCTTGACCTGTTTTATCTATAATATTTCCTGGGAAGCTGCTTCTGACCATGACATGTCTACAAAATGGTTATAAGTAACATGCTTAAGGAATTATATGCAACATTCTTAACGTATACTCTTAGGTAAGGAGAGATCGCCACTAAAGAATCATACTTGGACTGAAAATGTGCTTTATACATTATAAAGCTTGAAGTACCAGAATCTGTACTCAGTATCAGCCGATCACCATTACAAGGAATTTGTACTCTGTAACGGCTGCAAAAATCCTGATCCGAGCATCCCTAGTTATAAATGTCGATTTTGATTACTTTTTAATTAAATTGCCCAGCCCTAGTCTGAAATGACATGTAAGGATGACTTGAAAAAAATATTTTACTCTTCATTTGGCTGTAAATAATGTTGCACTTTGATAGTCATTTGTTGCTAATATGATTTCGCTATTGAGAATTTACAAGGAATACTTTTCTGAAAATATATTATTATTAAGGAGAAACTCTGAATGTGTGAATATAAAACCAACTTTACCTCAACGCCTACAGGGTAGCATGCATATTCTTCCTATTCACAAGCTCTCTCCGCTTAATCTCTAATAAAAAGATGAAATCACCAGGATTAATCATTGTAATATCGTTAACCCTTTCACACTTCAATCAATCTGTAGCTGTGCAGCAGAATGCTGGAATATTCTAAATGATCAAGTTTCTTGCATGAACAGGCTGAATATTGTCAGCTCGTTCAACACCAACAGGCAGTTGTGCAGAAACACATCAGCTGCACTCAAATGTGTTCACACAGTATATAAACAAAGGACCATTCTGTCTGTCTTGTACTACCTGGTCCTGCTCATGAATGTCACTTGATGCTTGCAGTGATTACATTATTGAAACTAAATTACCTTGTGATCCCATAAATTCTCGTTAATTGTAGTAACAGGCCTATTTCCCTGTTTTAGAGAAAATAAATACAAGTTAGAGCAAGGCATTGTTTATGTTGCGGATTATCCAGCAACCTGGCAGTTGTAACGCTACGTTATTTAACCTAGGCATGTACGTTAACGTTACTAAATTAACAACCATTTTATAAAGCCCATTGTGTTCATGTAATAAATGAAATCACCTTCTGTTGTGACTTGCCGGAAGAGATTAAATTAAAGGGAACCTACTGCAACTGGAGAAAGCCTGCTTCCACTCGATGAAGAAGTCAACAGACGACCGCTGCATTGAACGTGCCGTAAAAAACAAACTATGACAATCCTGGCGAATGTGAGCTCGGGATATCCTATTCAAGTTGGCTTTCTCCACACACACACAAACACCAGCTCAGTCTCTTTGTGGTTTTCCAATTCCCCGTCCTTGCTCAAAGGAAGACATCATGAATACAAAGAACATCGTTGACTGTCACGACGAGACTCTTTAGCTTTTAGCTGCTTCGCGACGTTAGCTCGAGGTCTCTACGTCATATTTGTTATCACTCTGTTCCCTTTCAGTAATTACAGTGGATAAAAAAAATCACCCTGAATACAAGATAATGTAGGCAGGAAGTTCGTCACTCCAGCCTTGATGGAGCCGGATTAGAGATTGCATGATGTGACCGCTGTGTGGCGCTCTTTTAAAATCCTCATACATCAATCGTGTTGTAATTTATGGGATGACCTTTGTGCTTTTTCTGATTAACCCATGATAGGTTGGTTGGATGGATGGATGGATGGATGGATGGATGGATGGAAGTATGGATAGATAAACCAACAATTATTATTATTTTTATTATTTGTAGTAGTAGTAAAAGAGTAGTAGAAGTTGTAGTAGTGGTGTTGATTGTTGTTGTTTTATTTATAATAGTAATAATAATAATCATTATTGTCATCATGTCATTGTTATTAATGTCATTGTCATTATTGTAGATAATGTGTCATGGTTATTTTATTCTTATTAATAATGATAATTATTATTTTGTTAATAGTTGTTGTTTTATTGTAAAAATTATTATTATTATTATCACTATTATTGTTACAAAACTCTACTAAAGTATTCATATTATTAGTATAATTTGTATTATTTACTTATTTCATTTGTTTTCTGCAGTTCTTTAAGTGTTGTCTATTTATTAGACAGACAGACAGACAGACAGACAGACAGACAGACAGACAGACAGATAGATAGATAGATAGATAGATAGATAGATAGATAGATAGATAGATAGATAGATATTAATAATAATATATTAATAATTATAATAATAAAAATAGCACATTCATCCATCTATATACCTTAACTGTTAAAAATCCGCAGACAACAACCAAAAATTATAAGTTTTTATAAATATTATTATTATTATTAGTAGTAGTAGTATTAATAATAATAATAATAATGTTGATTGTTGTTGTTTTGTTTATAGCAATAATTATTGTCATTATGGCATTGCTATTATTGTAAATAATGTGTCATGGTTATTTTATTATTATTATTAATATTATTATTATTATTAATAATAATAATAATTATTATTATTATAATAATCATCATCATCATAATGATAATAATTCATTCATTCATTCATTCATTCATTCATTTTCTTTTCGGCTCAGTCCCTTTATTAATCTGGGGTCGCCACAGTGGAATGAACCGTCAACTTATCCAGCTTATGTTTTAAGCAGTGGATGCCCTTCCAGCTGCAACCCATCACTGGGAAACATCCATACACTCCCATTCACACACATACACTACAGACAGTTTTAGCTTACTCAGCCAAGATCACATGTCTATGGACATGTGGGGGAAACTGAGGCTCCCGGAGGAAACCCATGCGAATACAGGGAGAACATGCAAACTCCACATACTCCACTGACCCAGCCGTGGCTTGAACCAGCAACCTTTTTGCTGTGAGGCGATTGTGCTGCCCACTGTACCACCATGCTGCCAATAATAATAATAATAATAATAAATAATAATAAATAATAATGATAAATTATTATTACTATTATTATTAATATTACAAATTTTTCATAATTTGTTGTTTTATTATTACAATTATTATTATTATCATCACTATTAATATAACAAATGTCTACTAAAGTATTAATATTATTGGTATCATTTGTATTATTACCTTATTTCGTTTGTTATCTGCAGTTCTTTAAGTGTTGCCTTTATCAGACTGACAGATATTTGTATTTATTTATTAATATTTAATTAAATGCTTTTTATAAAATACATGTGAATGCACATGCACTTCATTCATTTCGCCTAGTGTAGTACGCCTGAGGATCCTGACAAAACAATTTCATTCTGACTCAAGAAAAAGTATGACGTATGATTTGTGTGGCCCTGCATCAGTGGACGTCCTGTACTGTACTGTCAAGGCGGAGCGAGCAGGGGAGCGAGCACTGCGTTACTATGGAGACGTGTTTGCTTAGGGAACGCGCATGGCTGGGGGCGCGCAGCAGAAGTCGCTAGAAACGTTGAGCTGATGCGTCACTGCGCGCCAGTGTGTAGAGACACGCGCACTCCTTGTGCAGGTTGACAGCGGCGCATAAACAGCTATAGCTTCCGTCTGTATGCCTTCACTGTGATCTGACAGCACAAATCCAAAACACTACCCCAGGCGAGAGGACGCGAGAGGAGACGCAGATTTGGGTGAACACTGAAAGGAGAATTCGACATGTGAGTCTGACCGGCAGTCATAGGGATGCACTAACTTTAGCTAGTTAGCAAATGTGTGCATAACCTTTATCAGCGAAACACCAGATTCTCTCTCATACGCCAACTATCATGTATGAACATTTAGGACAATACGAATCTTCCTCGTGAAGAAGCTTAGAATTTGTGTAGAAAAACGTCTAGTGGTAATTGGTGGTGGAAATAGCACACATTGTCCCCACAGCAGAGCTTAGCTAGCTGGTTAGCAGCTAGATAGTTAGGCCTGGGGTTACTGCAAGCTACTATGGCATGATTCTATTCTGTTCATCTATTCATGCTTCATATGCATTATTGTAGAATGTACAAGCAATATATGTGTCATATAAATCAACCTTTTACAGATCAAGGCTTGCAGGCTGGGTGTTCCCTATTGGAAAAGAACATGCTTAAGTCATGTTTGCTGTTTGAACGGGTTTAAGAAGGTATTAATGCCAGTTTATGCTGGTCTTCCATGCTGGAGATCAGTTGGGTGGCTATTTGGCCAACTGAAGGGGTTTAGTTTGTCATCCCAGCTTTACACGACAGGTTTGTGAGATGGTTTTGAGTACTTTCCTTCAGGTCATGCTGGTTAACAGTCTACAGGCTAAACCAGCAGAGCAAGGCTGAAAGGTTTTCAGCTGCGATCAATGATACACCATCTTTTTAAATGCATGTATGGACATGATAAATGCTAAAATTAAAAAATATGAACCAAATCTCCTTTATAAATAATATAGTAATATAATAATAAATGTTCAGCATCTTGTGGTTTCTGAATGATCACGTAAAACACTGAACCCTGGAGTAATGATGCTGAAAATTAATCTTAGAAGGGATAGTTCACGCAAACATTTTCATTTACTCACCCTTTAATTGTTTCAGACATTTGAGTTCCTTCTGTTAGACACAAAAGATTTTTTAAAGAAAGCTGGAAACCTGTAACCATTGACTTCTTGTGCTTTTTTTCCTACAATGGAGGTTAATAATTATAGTTCTTTAAAACATCTTTTGTGTTTAACAAAAGAAAAATACTTAAAGGTTTAACCACATAAGGGAGAGAAAATGGTGCGAATTCTAAATATTTGGGTGAATTATTCCAAGAATCAAAGTTATAAAGTTACTTTTTAAAGCCTTAAAATTAAAAAGTTACTTAGAATGACTGTTTTATTGTATCCTATACAGGGTATCCACAAGGTCTTAAAAAGTCTTAAATCTCAAAAATTTTAATTTAGGCCTCAAATAGTCCCAAATCAACTGAAATATTGTGTTGTATGTCTTAAATCTTTTTTAACATTCTTAATTTTCCTCTGTTCATGTATAGCTTCCCAATCTGGCCATTAACACTCATACAATCACCAACAATCTCAACAAAACTTTTCATTTAGAAATTGCATTTTGAACTAATTTACCATCATTGTTTAATTACTTTCCTTACAGTAATTGTTTTTAAAAAGTTCGCCCATTTATTTACTGCTGAGGATACTGACCACCTGACCTATATTTGTTATTATTAAATTATTATTATTATTGTATTATTAAATGTATTAAATTCTAATTATTTTTGAGAGGGCAAGTGAAAAAATTTTCCAACTGGGATATTCGAAAAAAAAAAATCCTTAGCATTTAGCTTTAAGTCTAAAATTTCCTTCATGATAAAAAGGTCTTTAAAAGTCTTACATTTAACCTAATGAAACCTACAGAAACCCTGCTTATAACTACAGCAATAAAAATAAACTCCAGATTTAAATAGGAGTTATTGTGCAGCCCTTTATTACAGAGGCCTGGTTTTGCTATAATTGTATTACATGGGTTAAGCCTTAGGTAGATTGTTAAGAAGCCATGCATGATCCTGCCAATTGATACAAATAGGTTGCCACGGTAACGTCATTGTTGCTCCACCCCCGCCAGGACCTCCTGCCCGCACATGTTAATTTAGAGCTGCACTTTTAGTGTGGAGTTTGACTTTTAACAAATGCACTTAGCTGGTTGCTCAGTTCCTCATGGATTCCATTAGAATTAAGTGATATTGTGTTTTTGAATGTCATATTAAAGTGGAGTTAGACTGAAGCCTTTTCTAAAACATTGCTTTTCATTTTTTGTTTTGCAGGCAGCCAGCTACTGCCAAGTGGTATGACAGACGGGAAGCTGTCTTCATCGAGTTTTGTATAGAAGACAGCAAAGATGTCCAAGTTAAATTTGACAAAACAAAGCTTGATTTCAGGTACATCCTTGTTTTAAGTTGTTAATAGTAGGCCTGAGTGATTTTGGAAACATTTTACATTGCATTTTTTTCTCTGCGATGTATATTGCGATATAAATTCAATTTCACCAGATGACAGTTATAGCTCTATCTGCAAAATCTTTAGTTTAGTGTGATTGGGATGATTGTGTAGGGGTGTGAAATATAAATATATATTTTAAATGTAATTTATTATATACATATAATAAACAAACTACATTCATATATCAACACAATGGTGCAAAAATGAAAGTAAATTAAACCATGTTTTCTGGAGAGAATCTAACAGTATTCAGGTACAGAAATTAAATAAATGTAAAATGTCAAATGTAAAATAACATTGCATAGTCTTCATTATACAAGTAATTTAATAAAAATAACCTTTATTAAACTTCTTTATGCACAACTAAAATGCTTTAAACGTAAAATGCTCACATAGTCTTTTTGGGTTGCAGCTGGAAGGGCATCCGCTGCGTAAAAACGTGCTGGATAAGTTGGCGGTTCATTCAGCTGTGGCGACCTCAGATTAATAAAGGGACTAAGCCGAAAAGAAAATGAATGAATGAATGCTCACATAGTCACAGGCCTTAAAAACACATGCAGATGATAAACTTTCACTCTATTATGATTAAATTAAGCAGTGTCTAAACATATCTTTGTTTTGAAATGTGGTTTCTG